TAATAATATCAGTCCCAGTCTTACGGACAACAGATAGATTATGGGATTTGCACTCCAACATCTGGTGGACCACAGGTTCCTCGCCAACGTTTCCCCTAATTTATTCCTAGAGTGTGATCTTATTATTATTTTCCCTACCTTCCACAACCCTCAGTGCTACACTTTTGTCTTCCATAGGATTTATTTTTTTATTGAGGGGGTAAAATAAAAATGGCATTGAAATGCCATTTATTGCTTATAAATTCTAAGATGCATGGAGGAGGACCCAGAGGGATAGACATAGATCAGCACGGCTAGCCACTCAACCCAAAAAATAATGGCCTAGTCAGGGCTTTGGGGTGTTTTTTTACCTGCTCAGATGATTCTTTCATAGCCATTTTCCTTAGACTCTGTTGAGCTGGGATAGCTAGAGTAGTAGACTAGAACGAAGAGAGGTTTATAGCAGCAGCTGATTTGCTATACATTCCTCCCTGTGTTAGAACCTAAGGGCAGACTCATTCCTTCACAGCTGCCAGCACCAGTCACAGGCAGTAGCTATTTTCGGGGTGCTATTGGAGTTACTGCTGCATATGGCGGATGGGGAATGATTGCTCCTTCCTGTTCACCCACATGGACTCGACCTCACCACCCTGCTGGCCCAACCGTGTCCAGGTAAGTGTCAGGAAAATGGTTCCATCCCACTATATGCACCACTAATGGCCACAGGCGTCTGCCAAGTCCTGCTTCCTGCTGGACTAGCTCAAGATATTTTGCTGCCTGAGGCAAAGGAACAGATGGTACCCTCGCCCAATCCACATACAGAATTCAAGCAGATCAGCATGTTGATGTGACCTGGGTGATCCTCCATTGTACCTGAGGGCAGCTAGTTAGCAGACTCCACTAACCCAGAAATATTACCTCAGGTTAAGAACTTTGCTTCAGGATGAGAACATAAATCGTGCAGCAGCAGTGGGAGGCCCCATTAGCTAAAGTGGTGCTTCAGGTTAAGAACAGTTTCAGGTTAAGAACGGACCTCCGGAACGAATTAAGTACGTAACCAGAGGTACCACTGTATCAGAATGCAAGTTTGCAACCTTAGGATACAGCAACAACCACAGAACGGAAAAAAGGATGAATTACCTACCCTTAACAAGAAGATTTTCAAAAAGTTCATTACTCAGATGTAAAATGTGGCAAATGTCTTCTAGAATATTCTCTAAGCAGTATCTAGGTGAATGAAGTGCCTTTGTTCATTCCATCGCCACCTGTCTGTCCCCCCCCAATTGGTCCCTAGATGTTGGACTACAACTCCCATGATGCACTTCCAGCTTAGTCAATGATCAGAGAAAATGGGAGTTATAGTCCATCAACATCTGTAGACCCAAGGCTGAAGAACAGCCCTGACCTACCAGGTGCTGCCACAAACTAGGAGTTCTCTTCTCTGACTGTAAGATCAACAAATGCTGAGGGACTAACTTGGTTTCCTTACCTACAGTTTCATTCTATTAAACATACAAATTTTCAAGAGATGAAGGTTGCAGTCCTATATTCACCTTAGGGTAAGTCAGTTTCCAATGTGTAAAACCGGAGCTGGGAGTTCCTGGATGCCAGAGAATCAGCTATCTTGCACGCCTCTGCTCACCCAATACTTACCATTACCAATACCTCTTTAAAAGCAAGATTGCAACCGACAGACACCAGAGCAAGAGAGAGATGTCATGCTTACCAAATGCATAGCTCTACAGGCATGAAATCACAAGCTACTGGTTCAGATGCCATCCATTTCACTTGTGTTCTGATTTTACAGATGAGTGGGTAGATCCAAGAGCAAGGCTTTTCAGACTTGTTAATAAATATATTCAAGAGGCTTTAGTCCCATACAAGAGATTTGTTCAGCCATATGTCAGGAGCTTGAAGGGAACATTTTGTTTTGTTTCATACTGGTGGAATATTAAACAGCAGAAAGTACCAGGAAACCAATGCTTTGAACTATCTATAAATGTTCTAAAGTAGGATTTAGTGACAACTGCATTTCTTTCAGCACCCCTGCTTCCCAACTACCTTTCAAAATTAGATTTATTTGAAGAATTAATATTCTGCTCTGTTAAAAATATATATCTTCATAGTCTTGAAATCTACTAATTGTAGGGATTAAGCACAAAAAGGCACATAGAAATTTAAGGCAGCCCTGTTCAGGGAAGTTTTTAACGTGTGATATTTTAGTGTATTTTTGGTTTCTATGGAAGCCGCCCAGAGTGGCTGGGGAGGCCCAGCCAGATGGGTGGGGTATAAATAATAAATTATTATTATATTATCATTATTAAGATTAGATATGATTTAGATTAAATCTAAGATTGGACATTTCAAAATACTTATATTGACTTGGGTTCTGCTTGTGCATAAACACACATAAGCGCACACCTGCTTTGATCGCCCCCTGTCAAGAATCAGAAAACCAGGAAACCATGTCTTAACACAAACCAGGGATCATGTATTGTTGCTCCTTAACAAGTCAGAAGAAGCCATGGCTTGTTGTTGGTTTGCTGATGGTGGCTTGTTCAGGAGCAGCAAACCAAGAATGCTGGTTTGGATGTACTACAAAGCCAAGACTTCCTGGTTCACTCATCTCACTCACAACCAGGGGAGGAGGGAAACGGAAGCAATCAAGTACACTGTTCATTCCTGCTAACCCAAGATAGGGCAGAAAATCTGCATTATCATGGCATACAAAGGAACCAAGGTGAGAAAAGAATCCCTCTGTTTAAGGGTCTCTTGCCCCTAAATGATTTGCATATTAATAGTCAGATTGAGCCACATCTGTGCTATCACAACTGGGAAATTACTTGCATAGTGCAGGAGTAGTGCCCCCTCCACATTGTTGCCATTATGCTGGTACATTGTACACATCTGTGGTCTAAACCACAGAGCCTAGGGCTTGCCGATCAGAAGGTTGGCGGTTCGAATCCCCACGACGGGGTGAGCTCCCGTTGTTCGGTCCCAGCTCCTGCCAACCTAGCAGTTCAAAAGCACGTCAAAGTGCAAGTAGATAAATAGGTACCGCTCCGGTGGGAAGGTACGGTAAATGGCATTTCCACACGCTGCTCTAGTTTGTCAGAAGTGGCTTAGTCATTTATGGGCATACACAAGTAATTGCTAGATACACCAGCAGGAAAGACCAAGGAATGGTTTTAAGCTTGTAGATATGTTTTGGGCTAACTGAGACAGGTTGCAGGTTGTGGGTGTAGGATCACTCTGTGCCAGTAGAGAAGCAGGAATTGTAATTTCATCATGAAATCCTATTCATACTTGAGAGCAAGCCCCACTAAACATAGTGCAATTTATTTCTGAGTATGCATGCACAGGATTCAAGCAGTTTTCTCAGATTTCAGGGTGCAGCTGAATGAACTTGAAGGATGGGAGTCAAGGTTCTACTTACCTAGTCACTTCTCAGTTACTGTCGCACGAATCAGGGTTCATAACTGAAGAACTGCACTGGGGCACACTTCCCAACACAACTTGCCTCCTGCAGTATTATGCCATAGCACAAACAGAAAAGCCTTTGATGATAGCTTTAGACAGCAAACTTTTGCAATCAAAGGCTACGGGATGATACAACAGCTGAGCACTTTCCGTTATGATCAAAACAACTCCCTCTGACATAATCTAACACAACAACAAAATCCCCATCTCCATCTTTCCACGTCTCCAAATCTTGCTGGGGCACTTCTGCCCTAGGAGAACACAGGGCAATTTGCTAAATTCACAACTGGACTGACAACAATTACTTAGGACAGGAAATGCCACAAACGCTGAATAGCTAAGCAAGCAAAACACTAGCCCAATGCAAGAATCACAACTAGGAACAGAGTGTTTAATTAGAAGCCATTATTTATTTATTTTAATTTTGTATTTTTAAAAGAAAATTGCAGGACCAGGAAGAAAAAGAGGAAGCACTTTTCTTGCCCAAAGAAACATGGAAAACAAAACACATTGCTTGATCCAGGCAACAATCTTGACTGGGTTGTCAACCTTTAAATGTATTTGCTAGAAAGCTGAAGATGGGTGAAACTGCGAAATAATTACCAATGGATTTCAATATGAGATCCAGTATAGCGAAGAAATCCCTGAGCATTATAGTGGCAGGAATGAGTACTGGACATGTTCAAATTTCTGTGCTAAACTGCTGACGTGAACTTCTAAATGCTTTTCTTAACAAGACAATTAGATAAAGAAGTGTGTTACTAATTTCTCAGTGTGTATTTGTGGTAAAGGTTTGCTTCATATTCTGTGCATTTTGTGAAAACTGGCATCTGAAGATGCCCTTGCAGAGGTAGTTGTGGGTAGCTGGTGGCTTTAGTGATGATTAACATGAGGTATAAAGCAGTGCCACTCTTGCAAAAAGTCATCTGTTGCAACACAAGCTCATGCTACTCTTATCTGCTTAATAAGCTTCTCTGCTAACAATGTAGTCTAGAGTCTAGACAGTACCAGATAGTCAAAGCTATTTCTTCTTCAGTTTTCTAGCACTTTGCTATAACTTGCCCCACTGTCAGCAAAACAAATACAGGGCTGGCCCTATCATTAGGCAGAATGAGGCTGTGGTGATTGTTAATCCTTCTAGCACTTTAACATCCTTGTCTCATTCACCCCAGAGAAAATTCTTCTTACTTCCATTTTACACATGGGAACCAAGGCCAAAACTATCCAAGTGTTTGCTGTTGATTAACTTAGTTCGTCTCAGTTTTGTGCTATTTACTAGGCCACATCATGTGCAGGTATATACAAGCTAATACTGGCAGTTTCCATTACACACAAGTCACTTTGATGGTTTGGGTTGGTTATTCTGCCAAGGTCAAAATCTGTACATTTACTACCCAGAACTCCAGCATAAATGGTTTTAGAGTGAAAATGTCTCTGTGGTATCCAGTTCTATTGTACCAAAACACCAAACAGATACAATATCCTTCTTTGGAAGAAGAATGGAAAACAGTAGAATAGATAGGCAAAAATGAATATGCTACTTGAATTAAATGAATTTAAAAACCATGTATTTTACATCATGAAATGTGAGAAGCTTACAGCACACCAGCTTGCTTAGCATTAACAGATGCTTAATTCATATGATTAGAAACATTTTAAGTCAAAGGTGGGGAACTTGTGGCCCACCAGATGGACCCCCAGCAGCCAATGGTCAGGCATGACAGAAGTTAGAATTCAACAACAGCTGAAGTGCCATAGGTTCTCTATCCCTAAGTAGTAATGGCATTTCAGGGGTTAACAACATGGTGCCCACCAGATGTGCTTAAGACTCCAACTCCCATCAGCCCCATGGCCAATGGTCATGAATGTCAGGAGTTATAATCCAGAAACATCTGGAACACACTTCATTGGCTATGCTTGATTTATTGTATTTCTTACCCATCATAAGGTTCCTAAGTAGGTTACAACTACCTGTATATAAAATGCAGAATCAAAATAAGTTAAAAGTTAAAACCATTTACAACCAGAAGACTAGTGTGTACACACACACACACACACACACACACACTTTATAGTGACTAGAAACAAGACAGAAATTTTAAATTCTTACAGCAAAACGTTTTGGCTTCCACCTTTATCAGCTGTTCTCAGACCGAGTGACATCAAAGATATTAGTTAACGGCTTCAAAATTCTATAGCTAGGTCTCAATATTAGCACATTTAAGCCTCAATATTAGCACATTTAAGCATCATCATTTCCCCTATCATTATGTTTTATGTATTTTCCTCCCAAAAGGGCCATTGACTAGAGAAAGAACTTTTTGCTGTTCTGCAAAAGGAGTATCCTTCGTATAAGTCAGTGATGTGCAAAAGTTCAATGGCAGTTTGGTAGGAAATATCCAAAGACACCTAGAGGGTCCAAGTTTCCCATCTCTGGTGTACACTGTGTCTGATTTTCACCCTACCCCTCCTCATTCCACACACCAAGACTTCAGATGTCCCTTTCATTCAACCAACAATCACATTTGGTCCAGAAATGCCAACATTACTCCTAACTACATGTATATAGGTTTCATTCCTTAGTGAAAGTACCATAGATTTGGCAACAAGGATAAACTGGAAACATTAAATGCATTGTTTGTGCACATTTTTCTAATTTGGGTCATTTGTAGCTCCTATAAGGATTCTACACACTCTATGAAAACATATTTGCAACTAATTCAAACTGTATACACTGATGCCTGCATATTTAGGACTGTAATCCATGAGGCTAATTAAACCAAAGTTGATTCCGATATTGCAGGAAGTTGGCCACTGAAGGCCATATCTGGTATTGGGGGGCCACTTGGAAGCCACACACTGAATTATTAAAAGAAATAAAGCAGCATTTCACTTCCTGCTTTTGTAAATCCATCTCCTAGTTGAAGCCAATTGCCTCTAAACATTTCTTTTCCTTATTAAGAGAGAACCCCCTCAATTCATGACCATAATTCTTCTCAGTTCCCAGACGTATAACAATCAAAGTTAATACTCCATACATCAGTGCTAGATTTCCGGAAACACAAATGGAAATCCAGCCCGTTTCCCCCCTCCCGCCAAGGTTCATTAAAGCAGAAAGTTTAACATTTCAATTTTCATCTTTCCAAGCAAGACATCCTTCACTGAGCCAAGGTCCTTCTCTTCCTTAAGCGCTTCTTGCCTCGGGTGAGATCTTTCGGTCCTCCACAGCTGCCAGCCAGCCTTTGTCACTTTAAGTAGTCGGGCAGAGTGTCAGCAGCGCAGCGGAACCCCAGGTTCGAAGCAGAGCTGTCAGGGGTGTTTTGGCTTCGGGCTGTGCATCGATACCTATAGCAGTAGGACTGAGAGGGACAATAGTGGCATTACCACGGGCGTCAATTAAAGTGTGCCAATTCATTAGCTGAACATGGCAAAGTAGCTCTGCACTGGGGAGATCCTATATCAGCAACAAGGAACATGTGCCGTAGCCCCCCCCCCTCCAAAAAAAATGGTGCCTGCCTGAAACGAAAAATCATAAACTAGATAAATTATCCGTCTACTTAAGGGATGGTCTTGACAGCCTGCCTCTTTAGGATGAGAAGAAAAATGGTTAGGTTTTCTCCTGTGCACTACTGATGCAAAGGCTTGGCACCAGTTTCACATTTTATGGCTTTTTCACTCAGGCAAATATTACTGGAGCTCAACTCCAACAAGCAAAACAACACCTTCTGACTTTAAGAACATCCTCCAACTCTACAATTTTATGGTTCTATTTTGGAAATGGTTCCAGATCATCCAGTACCCTGACTCTCAAGCAGTCACAGATTAGACTCCTTCACTTTTTCTGCCATAAGTAAAGGGACCCCTGACCATTAGGTCCAGTTGTGCCCGACTCTGGGGTTGCGGCGCTCATCTCGCTTTATTGGCTGAGGGAGTTGGCGTACAGCTTCCGGGTCATGTGGCCAGCATGACTAAGCCACTTCTGGTGAACCAGAGCAGTGCATGGAAACGCCGTTTACCTTCCCACCGGAGTGGTACCTATTTATCTACTTGCACTTTGACGTGCTTTCGAACTGCTAGGTCGAAAGGAGCTGGGAGCGAGCAACGGGAGCTCACCCTGTCGCGGGGATTCGAACTGCCGACCTTCTGATCAGCAAGTTCTAGGCTCTGTTCTAGGCCCACAGCACCAGCCACGTCCCCAAACCTGTAACATTTTCCTAGGTGTATGATTCCCCTTGCCTAGCAGCAGTCAAGCCAGGGCTGCTTTTAATGCGTCTCTTGGCGCGTGATCTGAAACCCCTTTAGTAGTCAGGGGTCTTGGTGCCAATGTTTCACCACCTTTGAATGAGCCTCTAAGAAGAATTGTCCCTTTCTCTCCACTTTAGCTTCTTTTAAAATCCTCCTCCACACTTTTTGCCCTTTTTTTTCAATTTTATTCTGTCATGGACTGCGCCTCCCTAGCAATCGTTTCAATCTCCTTGGGGAGGCCTGCCTTATCTTTTGAGAAGTGCAGCTGTAAGAGAATGATAGGAATTTTGTTGCCATAGTGATCTCAGCCCCTTGTAATCCTTTAGCATATCTGCTGCGGTGATATGTAAGGCAGCCGTATCTGTGTGATACAGTGATATATTTAGAGATGGGGAAGTGGTAACAGAGAAATGCTGTTGGTGTCCATAGCTGATGTCCACAACCACATACCTAGTAGAGATTCTGGGGTCATGGGGTCTATCTGTAATATACATACATACATATATACATACACACACACACACACACATATATATATATATATATTCATATATTCCTATATTCCCTCTTATACAGCTAATGGGACACAAATTCCCCCCCCCCCCATATTATCTGAAAACTTTCCAAATTGCATCCAAATGGATTTGAACTAGGGGGAAAAACCCTCATGCTTACAGAGGACACAGTTTCAATATTTCTTACCTGCTCACCCCCAATCCACTGCAGCCATCCAAAAGATGTACTGCTGAGAGTTGGAGGGAGCCTCTAGAACAGTTTGGGAAATAATACTGAAGGTGGCAGGAGCGACTGGCGAAATGCTTTTCACTAGTGTAAAGCACCCATTGGATACAACCCATTAACGCAAAATGAATCCCAGTATTTTATTTACATATTTATTAAAACCCATTAAAATCAACAAACTTGGCAGTTTCAACAGGTTGGAGTGTATTTATCTGAGAATACTTCCAACACATCTGTAAGTGTATCTGTAACCCGACTGTAGGGATGTGCTTTAAGAATTTGCAAGGCGGGCTCAGCGTGTACAGATCCACTGAAATCAACTAATTTGGACTTTAATAGATAGCTGCATGCATTGGCTTCAGGTTGCACAAAGAAGAAAACCTTAGTTCATGGAGCAAAACTCAACCACCTATTACGTTCAGCCCGGACACTGAGATCCAGCGCCGAGAGCCTTCTGGCGGTTCCCTCATTGCGAAAAGTGAGGTTACAGGGAACCAGACAGAGGGCCTTCTCGGTAGTGGGGCCCACTCTGTGGAACGCCCTCCCTTCAGATGTGAAGGAAATAAGCAGCTATCTTCTCTTTAAAAGACATCTGAAGGCAGCCCTGTTTAGGGAAGTTTTTAATATTTAATGCTGTATTGTTTTTAAAACTCGATTGGAAGCCGCCCAGAGTGGCTGGGGAAACTCAGCCAGATGGGCGGGGTATAAATAATAAATTATTATTATTATTATTATTATTATTATTATTATACAGCCAAACTCTTTCTATTGATCCTATTTAGAAGCTATGTGATAGTATAGCAAATTTTAAAATCCAATTATCCATTACCATTCACAGAAAGACATAAACCTGCATTTCTTGTATGTGTCTGCCATACACACACACACACACACACACACACACACACACACACACACCAATCTGCATTTGATGCAAAGACTAGGCCTGCTGTCCTGGGATTCTTGGGAGGAAGGGTAGGATACAAATCTAATAAAATAAAACAAAAAATAGACCGCTGGTTTGTTTGTTTTTTGCCCACAGAGGCTTATCTCAAAGTAGTACACACATTATCACAATATACCATGTGAGATCTTGATTAGAAGGGCCACCCAGTGCCTAATCCTGCAGCACGTAATCACATGTGATCATAGCTGGATCACTCATAGTCTATAGCCAGTAACCCCCAATGGGATTTATAGCTTAATAAACAGATTCAACCTTTCTGTCTGAGCTGTAGCCCAAAATGTTTACTTAATGACAGTGATTAATGATAATGACCTGATGCACTTTGTAAGGCAAATCCATAACTGGATTTGGTTTGCCTGTGGCCACCCTATTAATTTGTGGCAGAAGACAGAAACTTACCGAATAAGGCAGAGGGTTCTGCTTTCAGTTTTTCGTGTTTGACTATCTGAGCAGCACTACATTTAGAAAAGCCAAACATTTCCTTATGTGACTGATTAAATTGATACAGTCAGCAGTTGTTGGGATGCATGACATCAAGATGACTTTTCCCATTAAACGAGATCAGTCATCAACACTGACTACTCATTTTCCTTCTGCATTAAAACTCGGCTCACGGGTCAACAACTGACTTTGAATTAAGATGACCTGGAACAGAGAGGTAATGACATATGTCTAGGAGAATCTTATTTAATTGACTGAAAACTTAAAAAAGAGGAAGGGTGGACCATACAGCTGTGCCCTGGGATTTCAAAAATTGCCAGTCAGTGTAGAGATTCAATTAATTTGATATAGCAAGGATGGGCTAAAAGTGACATGCCAGAAGATACAACACAACCATCAGCTACAAGACACACGTCAGTGTAATTTCATATCTCCTCTCAGCTACCGTTGATGCTGAGAATCCTCTTTCCCTCCGGAAGCTTCTCTCAAATTCATCACTGTCCCAGTTTTATTCACTCCCTCTGCCCCTGGTCATCCACTGCTTAATCTATTTCCCTTTCCCCATTTCACAATTCCCGAAGCTGGGCCTGTAGCCATAAGGTTACTGCTGCATTCCTTCTTCTAGCTTTAATATTTCTGTACCCAGAACCTGTAGGCCGTTCACATACCTCAATAGGCAAGCTCTGTGTATTATGGTCGTTTCCTTTCCTGACCAGCAAAATCTAGCTTCCCCTCAACAGTATCACTGTTGCTGTGCTCTCCTTTGGACGCTTCTGCTTCTCCAACACACCCTACCTTGGATTACTGCTGCTGCTGAAGTGGCAGCGCTGACTTCCTTGCATCACCCTGCCATTTCAAGCCCCCGGTTGCTCCCTCTTCTCACTTGCAAGTTCATTTCGGGCACTTCCCTTTCCATCTCTGTGTTGCTGTGGTATGTTGTCATTGTGCCTGGAACGGCCTCCCGCAGTGCCTCCAAGAGACCACCTCCCCTATTTCCCTTAAAGGCCTCCTCCATGACAAACTGGGGGGCAGCTGCAGGACTGTAAGACCCCAGGGCCTCCATGAATTGGTAGGCAGAAGAGAGATTGTAAACCAGCCCGCCACAATTGGGCAGGTGCTTCACCCTCACATTGAAACAAACAGCATGGGCAACCTAATCATATTCATGCACTGCAGAGGGCTTGAAGTAGATCACCCTTGGGATCCCTTCCAACTCCATGATTCTATGCTTACTCTGAACAAAGTCACAATGAATGAGTTCAATAGGCCCTTAAAAAATGTGTAACCTTCGTCTAGATCGTGTCTGACCTTTGTGTTTTGCTCTTTTTTGCAAGCTATAATTTTAAAATCCTGGCACAAACCGCATATTATAATGTTAAGCTTGGGACTGGCAAGGTATAAGGTGGGAAAACACAAGGCAATACAAGTGCAAGGTTTGTGTGGTGCTCCTTACAGGTAGATCACTTTGATTGCTTCATAAAGGCAGGTCACTTTGAACTGTTAAACTTGGAGACATCTTTGGACAGCAAGGCAAAGTGTTGTGTTAGTATGCCTGCTGTCTATCATAACACTTGGACAGTTTCTCTGTTTATAGGTTGTTTTATTTTCACACCCACTGTTTATTGACAGGCAAAAGACAAAGAACAAATCTGCATATAAGATCTCTAAGTAAGCTTATGCCATTTGACCTCTAACATTTATTGCTGGGCATATGAAATCTTTTGTGTAGTTGTTGTGCTGAAACAAAAGTGGCTTTGAAGAGTATTCTACTATAAGTAATAGGAAGAAAGGGAGATTGGGAGTTTATGGGCTCAGAGGGGGATAATTCAGGTTGGTACTTTCAGAATTCAGAGAAAGTTTCTTGGCTTATTTCAGATAATCTCCTGCAGATTTAGTCTCAGTTACCTTACCTATGTCTAAATCCTAGAAATGGATAGACAATCCAGAAGTAAGGTTTAGTAAATGCACTGCTTCGTTATACTGTGCTTTCTGACCCTGAGATAACAGATGACTTTTCACATCCTTAAAAAAAGGAAAAGAAAAAAGACTACACTATCTTCAGTAGACTCTAAAATGGGCCATATTACTCATCTGTAAAGAAAACTGCAATGCTGCTGTTAATTTAATCAAATCTGCTAATTAATGTGTGACATTGATTTCACCCCAAAATAAAACCTGGAACATGTGATCTGAAAGTAGGAAATGTAAGCTTCCTATGGAGGATAGGTTACAGATTAAAGTGTGTTTTAAAACAGGACCTTTCAAAGCACCCAAATGAAAAGATAAACACAGTAAGATTAATTTTTAATTAGAATAAATAAAATTGGGGTCATAGCTGTGACTTAGTTGTTGTTGTTTTTTAAGAATTATGCTGTGTGGTTCACTGGAATTAGCCAAATGATGGAGATGGAGGAGCATGCATTTCCTATTACAACACTGTGCAAGAATTGTTTCATATCAATTACTGGTTGCTAAAAATGTAGGATTTATTTATTTATCATTAGCTTCTCTTATATTCTCAAGTCTTTTTCACAATCTATTGAACAACTTCTCCCAAAACTTTCATATTTAAGATGAGAAGAATGCAAAGGTAGACTGCTTGTCTGTCTTGTCTCTGTACTCAATTCTTCACCATAAGGCAAGGAGGGGAAACCTGTGGCACCTCAGATGATATTTGAACTACAGAGCCCATCATCCCTGACCATGCTGGCTGGGACTGATGTGGTTTGGAATTCAACTTCATCTTGAGGGACATAGGTTCTCCTCTTGTTTTCTTTTGAAGGTGAGTAGTCCAGCTCTAGCAAAAGTTAGCTTCATAAAAATTATTGGAGATCCCACAATCTTAAATTTAGCCTTGTGGCTGAGGTATCTTACATTCCTACCTGCAATAACTTTCCAGGCCAGAAAGCATGCTATTTTTAAAAAGAAAAGAAGGGACATTAAGCATTTAGCTAAGATTTTCTCTTGGTTTCCTCTTAGGTTAAAACACATCTCAACACCCAAGGGTGGGTGTGAACTACTGTAGGGTCAGCTGAGGGCTCTGTTTAATTACATAGCTTCTGCAGAATATAGTTCACTATCCTATAAAAACAGCTAGCATCCTTGATTTTGGAGGCCTAAAAAGTACACTATCATCAGGCTCAGCAACTGAGAGTCTCCGCATTAGAAAACCAATTGCTCGGCTGTCATCCTGGCATTGTAGTGGTGACAGGAGCCAGAATCCTAACTGGTTGTAAGACCATGTTTTAAAAAATAAAGTACAGGTGTCCTGGGATCTTCAAGAGGTGGTAGGTACATATACACAACCCACCAATAGCTTCTACCCTCAATAGTACACTCCTCTTATTCCAATCAAGGGGCACAGGTGGTGCTGTGGGTTAAACCACAGAGCCTAGGACTTGCCGATCAGAAGGTCGGCCATTCGAATCCCCGCGACGGGGTGAGCTCCTGTTGCTCGGTCCCTGCTCCTGCCAACCTAGCAGTTTGAAAGCATGTCTAAGTGCAAGTAGATAAATAGGTACTGCTCTGGTGGGAAGGTAAACGGCGTTTCCACGCGCTTCTCTGGTTCGCCAGAAGCGGCTTAGTCATGCTGGCCACATGACCCAGAAGCTATACACCGGCTCCCTCGGCCAATAAAGCGAGATGAGCGCCGCAACCCCAGAGTCAGCCACAACTGGACCTAATGGTCAGGGGTCTCTTTACCTTTACCTTATTCCAATCACCATAGCTCTAAATCAACATGCCAAAGTAATCTTCTTCTTCTTCATCATCTCCTTCTTCTGGGGACGCGGTTGAGGACTCAGAGGGGGAAAGGAATGTAGTGCCATCCCCAGAAGCCCATCCACCAGATGAGTCTGTGGGGCTGGCTTAGATTTTTCAGCAGTAGGGAACCTCCAACCCACAGGGCTAATTAGCCGGCCAGGCTTTTCCAGTTGGCCTAGAAGCACATTTTGGCCAAGCTACACCTACCTGCTCTACATCTGATGTAACATCAGGTAAGAGGAAAGTGCAGGCATGGCTGGGCCGTAAGAGCTGCAGACACCGCTGATCAGCTGGAGGCACCTGCAAAGCCCAGAACTTGCATAGCTCCATGTGCTATGCAAACTCTGACAATCAGAGGGTTTTTTAGGGGGAGGGAGGCCTTCAAACTACTGCACAGGCAAAACTGAGTTGCCTGACATCCTTGTGACATCAGGTGACTGACATCAGGTGGCCATAACTAGTTGTCAAACTGGGGCAGGGAGATAAGGATCTGGCTCACCCACCAGATCCACTTCCTCACCCCCTGAGAGTGAGATGGGCCTTGTTTGCGATTCAGCATCATTCTCCTTATATCCTTAACACAGTTGCACTTGAAGAGGCCCCAGTAGAAGCTCGATTTAAAGAAGCACTTCTGCCAGCAGTTGTGTGGGTTGGCCGCTGGAGTAAAAGGAAGATTGTAAAGTTCCTTGCTATCTTAACTATGCAAAAGTGGGACAGCTAAATTGCCGTCAAGCTAAAATTAGGAGACAACTGATATTTTATCTCAGCTTAGATAAATGGGAATTCAAATTAACAGTTCATTGTTTTATCTCCCCCACCACACCCCGCCACATTTGTCCACCCAGAAGTGCTTCTTTTCAGATGTGCATCACGAGATGCAATTCTCTCAGTGTGTCATTTTATGTCACTAATTCTCAGGCGTACAAAATAAGAGCCTATTGCACAGCAGCAGACTGACAACTGCCTTTTAGCATTACCTTGTGGCACATATAGGATCCTCCTTTCTTCACTCGGTCAGTCCCGGTTGGGGGTCCTTTCTGTGGATGGAAAAATACCAATGACTGATCATCTGTACAAAACTAGGAGCAAACCCCACCCAACGGAGAAGTAGAAAGGAATTAAGAGATGGTCTAATCTATGTGTAAGCAAACTACAGCTGCTTGGCAGGCGGGAGGGGGAGGGGGGTTGAAAAAGCTTGAAAATAATTACATTGCTCAGGACTAGAAGACAGTCCAGCGTAATTGCTCCAGCCAAAGCGCAGCAGTGACTGCATCAGTGTCTAATTGCTGCTTTCTTCTGTCAAGTCTGCAGCAAGCATGTTATTTTGGTTTCCCTGGGTAAGTTTATAACATGCTGCTCAGAGCTCGGTGACACTAAAGAAATTGTGATGATGGATTGAAAACGTATTAACAATTAGTATAATTCTGTCCAACTTGCTGTGCTCCTATGGCATATAGCTTTAAGATTTGTGCCAATTTAAGAGATGTATCACTGTGATACATTCACCTATTTGGTGGTAGTCCATATTCCCATTGCCGATCAGAAGGTCGGCGGTTCGAATCCCCGTGACGGGGTGAGCTCCCGTTGCTCGGTCCCTGCTCCTGCCCACCTAGCAGTTCGAAAGCACATCAAAGTGCAAGTAGATAAATAGGTACCGCTCCGGCGGGAAGGTAAACGGCGTTTCCGTGCACTGCTCTGGTTTCACCAGAAGCAGCTTAGTCATGCTGGCCACATGACGCGGAAGCTGTACGCCGGCTCCCTCGGCCAGTAAAGTGAGATGAGCGCCGCAACCCCAGAGTCGGTCACGACTGGACCTAATGGTCAGGGGTCCCTTTACCTTTACCATATTCCCATAATGTGTGCCGCTATCAGCATATCGCTCGGGACCTGAGAAGCATATAGATCTCGCCCCGCTCCCTCTTTCAGACAGGTAAAAATGACACGCGTTAACTATCACATGATTAAACAGATATTGTACAGCTAGAAAATGGTAGAAAACTAAAATGAGCCATGCTCCTGCGAGGAAAGGTTATCACATCTGGGGCTTTTAAGTCTGGACAAAAGGTGAGTAACAGGGGGCATGGCAGAGGTTTATAAAATTATGCATAGTGCGGAGAAAGTGAATTCTCCTTTTTTTGTATCGCTAGAAGTTGGGCTCATCCAATGAAGCAGAGTTGGAAGATTCAGAACAGACTTCTTCACACAGCACATACTTAAAACTATGGATTTCGCTCCCACAAGGTGTAGCGATGGCTACCAAGTTAAATGGCTTTGGAAAGAATATTAGACAAATTCAAAGAGGATAAGGCTATGCCATACCTCAACTGACATAGGCACTGTAACCTCTGAATACTAGTTTCTGGCAATTGCAAGTGAAGGAGAGCATTGCTGCACTGAGGTCCCCCTTTCCCATAGGCCTGGTTGCCCACTATGCTGGACTCGATGGGTCTTTGGCCTGATCCAGCAGGTCTCATCCTATGCTCTGAAACAGCATGGCTCTGGGGAAATTTTGTTTGCTTTCAAAAGTACTTGCTTTCTGAGATATCACAAATGGTCAAAGCCCTGGAAAGCCAGTATTCTACTACCAACACAACCTTGCTTGCCAAGGCACCAAACAGAAGGCCTGGAAAGAGATTATTCAGGAACAATTGCATAGCTGCTAATCAACCCAATTTTGAATTGACAAAATACGTCATTCCTCAAAGAGTACAGCTGGGTAAGAATCATTCCCTTGCGATTTGCCAGGTGCACGTACTTTAGCATTTTGTGATTTAATAAAGATTACAGGTCAGGCAGTAGATAACAAAACCCTGTGTGGAGTTTAATTAATTAAGAATTAAGGTTTAAAAGGACTCATTCACCTCAAAAACATACTGGGCAGAAACTGTAATAACCAACTAATTCTGGAATTAATCCTGAGCTACCTTAATTCTGTCATTTGAGCTATGACTAGGCTATGTGCGCTATTCCTTTTTTTTTTTAATTGACATTCTGTACTAAGGTAACCCAAATGATGCTCCAAGAATAGCCGAGCTTTACAGCCTGTATAAACAAGGCAAATTAAATGAACTGGTGAAATTATATTGTTTTTTGGTTTGGGGTTGTTGTTGTTTTAAAGAAGAAAATCATTGCTTTCTTGAAGATTGATTCAGTAGAAACTGCTGGATATAAACCTTTTAGTAAATATATCTGATCATTTTTTGTTGTTGTTTATTTGGCTTCTGCTAGTCAACATAGAAGTGGGAAGAGCTACACAAAGGACTAAATCCGTAAGCAGAGGAAATCTGACAAAACAACAACTGGCCCTTTCTTGCTTTGGCTCCTGGGACCCTCAGAAAGCTCTGCAGCCCTGGGGAACTGCAGCTTCCCAGCAGCTGCCAAAAGGTGATGTCTAAAGGAAATTACTAATGCCGGGAACCTACAGCTTTGTGTAAAAAGAGTGCTTTAGAGCTGAGGGGGAAATGGTGTGCTGAAAAAAGTACCAGACAGGGCCAACAAAAATTACCAATGGGCTGCAGGAACTCCTCTGTGAGGAAAGATTAAAACATTTGGGCGTTTTTAGATTTTAAAAGCTGGGGAGTAAGGTGAGGACAGGATAGAGGGTGAATAAAATTGTACATGGTGTAGAGAAAATAGACAGAAGTTTCCTCCCTCTCCCATAATTCTGGAACCCAGGAGCCATCAAAGTGAAGCTGAAGGGTGTAAGATTCAGGATACGATAGAATTTTCTACCACAAGATGTATCTTACACAGCTTTTAAAGGGGATGGGTGAGGGGAAAAACATTGAAGGTAAGGCTGTTCAGGGGTAGCAGCCATTATGGTTGTGTACTACGTCCAGTATCGGATTTATTTGGAGATTTTTGCATAGCAGGGGTAATAAATACCGAGCGTATATCCCCGTAGAAATGGCAGCGTAACAAGGCATGAGAGACAGTTTCTACCTCCATCAAGTCGCAGGGGCAGACTCGTTCTGCGTATGGTTTACCCTCAAATCTGCCCTTCAATAAGGCAGATGGCAGCACGTTGAATCTTGCAAGGGTAAATGAGCTGTGCTATCATAATCATTAAGGCCTTAAATGATAATTTTAGGTTATATGTTAACAACTAAGATTTAATTTTTTTTAATATATATATATTAACTGTTGCTATATCTGTATTGTCCCTGTTATACCCAAATGCAAATTCAAATGTATCCCTATTGTAATTTATGACTTCCTTGATATTGTATGTGGGCTGGAACTGGTCTGTGACCGGAATAATAAATTCATTCATACGTCCAGTATCAAAGGTGGCATGCCTCTAAACACCAGTTTCTGGGGAGCACAAGGGCAGAGAGTGCTGTCATGCTTCAGGACTTCCCAAAGGCACCTGGTGGGCCACACATGCAATTCTAACATATGGAACACATGGGCCTTTGGCCTGATCTACATAGCAGGGTCCCTTGGGAACAATTTGCAAAATGGTGAAATGGGATAGGGTTTAAGATGCTGGCAAGGCAAGGACTGTAACAGAACCATACTCTACAGTGCAGGCTAAGGTGTTGTTGGGAATGGCAAGGAGGGAGAAGTAAAAGAAAGCTTTCTAATATTACAAACTTTGGGAAACTTATGGGTGAAAACGATCAGTGTGATGTTATTTCATAATGTCTTTGGAATTATTAGTAATTAGCATTGTTAGTACTACTATGTGTTCTAAATGCATCCAGGGTCTGAGGACCAAAAGAATCTCAAGAAAAGCTTGTAAGCAAAAATAAATAAATAAATGAAAATGAAAAGAGAGATCTATGCAGTAATAACTACATACGTCTCTCTTTTCATTTTCGACTTATAGGCATTTAAAATGCAGAAAAAATAAGGCAGAAAAAAAAATATGCACCCCTTTGTTTCTAGTATTATTTGGGAACTCCATACAGGTCCTTTACATGCAAGTAGCTGGAGCATCAAGTTGTTTTTTTTATAAAAGAAAACTTAACAAAAAGTAAAATAAAGTCTTGAGTAAGAAAGAACATCAATGCTTGTCTTGCTTCTGTTTTTGTTTGTTGATGCTGCTGAATCACTGCATCCGTGAAGTCCTTGATTTCAGAACTGCAGGGAATGAGCATGATTCATGCTGCGGTTCCACCAAGACTGAGCTGGAGTCCTAAGTGTCAGAGGAGAGGACAGAGAGATACTGGGACAATGGTTTCATCTTGAATAGGTGCTCCTGGTTTGGTATGCACACCTGGGGCTGGCCTTGAGGACAATTCCATCTTCCCACTCTGCATCCTTGGGCTGAATCGCCTGCAGAATGCCAGGATCACGACACCATACTTGCTTCAAAGGGTACTGCCCACACACTTTCAAGCCTACCTTCAGTCAAATGCTCTATATACAAGAATTAATACACCAATGTGTGTTTTATATAAGAAGAACCTGCTGGATCAGACCAGTAGCCTATCTAGCCCAGCATCCTGTTCTCACAGGAGCCAATCAGATGCCTACAGGAAGTCCACAAGCAGGACCACAATGAGTACAACATTCCCCACTTCTGTGGTTTCCAGGGACTGGTATTCAGAAGCATAATGCCTCTGTCAGTGGACATTTGGATCCCATCTTTCCTTCCTTGTGACTGGCCCAAAGTCACTCAGAAAGCTTGACGGCTGACTGAGAATTCAAACCTGGGTCTCCTTTGTTTTCGTCTGGCACTGTAAGCACATCCCAGCACATTTGTCTGCCTGCTACCACATCCCAATCTTTTTCTCCCCTGTACCCACTCAGAAGAACGACAGATTGTTTGTTTGTTTGTTTGTTTGTTTGTTTTGTTTGTTTGTTTGTTTGTTTCACTGGATATGCGGAGGGTTGCGAGATAGTCTCATTGTTCCCTACAAAAGAGTTAGTTTAGGATTGTATCCAACATACAGTGGTACCTCGGGTTAAGTACTTAATTCGTTCTGGAGATCTGTTCTTAACCTGAAACTGTTCTTAACCTGAAGCACCACTTTAGCTAATGGGGCCTCCTGCTGCTGCCGCACCGCCGGAGCACGATTTCTGTTCTCAT